TATAGTAAAATAAATTCTGGTTAGAAAAACAAAAAACTTTGTGAGAATTAGAGCTTTGTAAAGTCAGAATGGATATCTTCAGAATTAAATGTTTACTTTGTGGGCAGATCAGAGGGAAGATAAAAAGAAGCAATGTATTTGAGGTGACTAATACAGCAAATAGCCTGATTTGATCCTTTCATAGGTAAACATATATCAAAACATCATACATACTTCATACATATAAACATTGTTTGTCACTTAAAAATAACATAAATAGAAGAAAATTCCTTGACATTAGGAAAACAAGCTTGTTCAAGATATCGTTTAAGATTCTGTGATTTAAAAAAAAAAAACTTATAAAATCATTTTTTGATATTTTTTATATACAGACACTTTCTGCCTATGACCCTTGTTCTACAAAAGTGAAAGCTAAATATAAATATGCCTTTTACTTACAAAAAAAAATAGAAAAGTAACTCTTAATATAATCCTCTTTAAACTTAAAAAGTCATTTTGAACTCCTGAACCTTTAAAAATTGACTATTTGAATTGCAAAGGAATACCTTTTTTCAGAGTTTTAATTCAGCAGAACATAAAGGCAAAAGCATGCATAATTAATTATACTGAAAATGATTATTTTTCTCATATCTGATAGAACTAAAGAGACAGAAAAAGAAAGAAGGAGAAAAGAGAAAGAGAAAGGAGGAGAGGAAGGAAGGAAAGAAGAAGGAGAGAAGGAAGGAGGGAGGAAAGGAAGGAAAGAAATAGCTTACAATCCCAGATAACCTCATATCACAACTTTGAGAAAGAAAATCTTAAAACTAAATTCTCAGACATATGAGCTCTCAAAAATAAGTGTCCATACACACACACACACACACACACACACACACACACGGCCTTGTAGTAGAACTTAAAAGAGTTTTCAAGTGAGTTTAAGTGAGAGTACTTGTGTTTTAATCCATAATTTATCGGTTAAGTGAACTTCAGCAAGTTACTGAATTTTTCTCAGTCTCAGTTTTCATACTTGTAAAAGTGTTTTAATAATATTATTCATTCTCATAAAATCTGGAACACTTAAATAGAAAGTCTATAATGCATTTGGAAATTATATTTAACATATAATAAGCATTACATAATTATATTTTAAATAATTATAGTCCTGAGTAGTATCTGCTTATCCATAATAAACTTTGTGTCCACAATCCTGGATGGGCAAACTAGTCACTTAAAGAATAAAATGGAAGGCAAATCCTCTCTACCAAGGGTTTTCTTGGTATCCCAAGGCTCCATAGAATATGTTATCCCCACAAAGAGAAATTAATGGAAAAATCAAATCCACTAGCCCTCTCCCCCATGAGACAGGGATAGCTAGCTGGAAGTCACAATTAAATTAGTCAGCCACGTTTCCAGAAGAACTCTACATTCCAGAATCATGATACCAAACAAAGTTAACCAGGGCACATGAGATAAATCTATTTAATACTACTGTCTTAACCAGTGGTCTCCACAATCAGGTGGGAAATGGCAATATTTTGAATATGCACCCTGAAGTAAAACATATAATGTACCTAAAATTACCAATACGTCTGACAGATTACATTATAAAATGTTCTGAAAAAAGAACAAACAACAGGTTTGAACCTATCTCAAAACACTGTTTACCTGGAAATGTTTTAGGCAAGAAAAATGGGAAATGCTATAGCTGTGTTTCTAGGTAACACTGTTTATTACTGGTAAAATACAAACGGAGTAGAAGGACACTGGATAAATCGTGAAAATCATTTGAGGACTGACAGACTTTAGCTCCTTGCCAGTAGTGCTTTTCTTGTGACTAAAGGTATCCATCGAGGGAACTTGGGCTGGTTCCTGTACAGTCTCAGCCTTATCCAAGGAAGGTAGTCCCTGACTTCCCATGCAGTCTCTTAATCTTAGAACTGAATTGCTACAGGGGGATTGAGGAGAAGGATGTGGAAAATTATTCCTGGGCAACTATAGGGATTGCCATTGAGGAAGCACCTGACATCACCATGTAGATAGACTATCCTTCCTGTCCTATATCTTTATGCAAACCCAAGTACACTTGATGTCATTTAACCACTTATTATCTGATATGACTCTGAATGTCAAATCCAAACACACACGTATAATAATCACACACATATATGTATACAAAAGTAGAGACAGGCCATGCTGTGGCCCCCCCATCTACCCACTGTCCCATCCCACTTCCATCTAGAGATAATAGCCAGGGCCAGAAAGACCATGACTCAGGGTCCTTCAGGCCTGATTTTATGATAGGTGAGGTATTGATAACCTGCAGGGATACTATAAGATTATAGGATAGAAACTGTAATACCTCAGATCCACATTGCTAGAGAGGAAGACACATAAACAACATGAAAAAAAAGGGGGGGGGAATAAAATGTCCCAAAGAAACCAAGATGCTACAATAATAGAATCCATTGACAGCACAATAGATGAAATGTTAAGAGAAGGAGTTCAGAACATACATAATTTAAATGATCTGTGAAGTATAGAATAGTATAAGAAAGCAATTACAGGCAACAATTGATCACTCCTACAAAAAGATTAGAGAGCAAATACAGGCAACAATTGATCACTCCAACAAAGAGATAAGAGAGGGCGAGCATTGTAGCTCTGTTGTAGAGCACTTGCCTAGCATGTGTGAAACACTGTGTTCAATTCTTAGCACCACATATAAATAAATAAATAAACAAATAAATAATAAAGGTTCATCAACAACTTTAAAAAATAAATTTAGAAAAAAAAAGAGATAAGAGATCAAATAGAGGTAACAAAAGGTTACTTCAAGAAAGTGATCAAGACTCTGGAAAAAAGAAAACAGCAATCCTTGAAATGAAGGAAACAATAAACCAAATAGAACATTCAATAGAAAGTATCACCAACAGACTAGATCACTTGGAAGACAGAGCCTCAGACAATGAAGACAAAATATATAATCTTGCAATAAAGTTGACCACACAATGAAGATGGTAATGAATAGAATGTCCAAGAATGATGGGATAAGATGAAAATACCAAATATAAGAATTATTGAGATAAAGGAAGGCACAAATCAAAGGAATATACAACCTCTTCAATGAAATAATATCAGAAAGTTTCACAAACATGAAGAATGAGTTGGAAAATCAAGTACAAGAGGCTTACAGGACACCAAATGTATAAAACTACAACAAATCTATACCAAGGCACATTCTAATGAAAATGCCTAGCATACAGATTAAGGATAGAATTTTAAAAGCTGCAAGAGAAAAGTTTTATATTTCATGCATGAAAAAATTAGTTCAGATCTCAGCAAATTTCTCAACCCAGACACTAAAAGCTAGTAGATCCTATAACAACATTTTCTGAAAGAACATGGATTCCAACCAAGAATCTAGCAAAATTAAGCTTCAAATTTGATGATAAAGTAAAAAACTTCCATGATAAACAAAAGTTAAAAGAATTTATACTGAGAAAGGCTGCACTACAGAATAGTCTCAGCAAAATATTCTATGAGGAGGAAATGTAAAACTGTTAGAGTTCGGAAACAAGTCTGGATGGTGCCTGGCAAAATGCCAGAGGGAGTGGTTTGAGAAGTAACAAAAGCGAGCCAGTAAGTGTGGAGATTCCTGATTGGTTGACTGCTGTATCTAGTTTATGTTAATTAGATAAGCTGTGTGGAATGTATAAATACTGCTCTTGTCCTGCAATAAATGGCTCCTACTCCTGCTGTATCAACATACACAAGTTATTCATCACCCCCCGGTTATTTTGCTGCAGCCGGACTGCGGCAGAAAACAACAATGAAAATCTGCAAAGTGAGGAACTACGCTGAAGGAAAAACCAATTAAAGGAGAAACCAAGTTAATAACCAAAAATAAACCAAAATGACCAGGAATACAAACCATATTTCAATAATAACCCTGAATGTTAATGACCTAACCTCATCAATTAAAAGACACACACTGGCAGATTGGGTTAAAAAAAAAAAAAGACCCAACAATGTTCTGTCTTTAAGAGACTCATCTCATGGGAAAAGATATCCACAGACTGAGGATGAAAGGATGGGAAAAAACATACCACTCACATGGACCACATAAACAAGCAGAGGTTTTCATCTCCATATCAGATAAAGTTGACTTCAAACCAAAGATAGTCAGAAGGGATAAAGATGGTCATTTCATATGTATACAAACTATACTATTTTCTCCCTCTATTTCCATGGATTATTTTAAACAACAACTAACTTTGAGAATACATCTTGGGTACATAATTTATAAAATACTTGGGACATATTTTTTGTGTAAAGCTTAGAATATGTGTTTAACCCTTTCATGATGTTTTTCATTTGCATTTTGGACAGATTCTTGTCTTTGGCCATTTTAATTCTTTGGTTTTCATTGCAACTAATCTAGACCTTTTAAAACTAAAACCTAGTAACTCCAGTGTTATAAATTCTGCAATGGCAAGACGGTTTCTAAAAATGTAAGCACTAAAATATCTTCTTAAAGTACTTCACTTCTTATTTTCATTTTTTTTTAAGAGAGAGAGAGAGAGAGAATGAATTGTAATATTTATTTATTTTTTTTTAGTTTTCGGCAGACACAACATCTTTGTTTGTATGTGGTGCTGAGGATTGAACCCGGGCCACACGCATGCCAGGCGAGCGCACTACTGCTTGAGCCACATCCCCAGCCCACTTCTTATTTTCTTTTAGAAGATATTAGGAAGTATCTATAGGGAGCTTTGAAAACTATTCACTGTGGGAGAAGCAACTCTGGTGTTCAATTTTGATACACTTTTATAATGATTTCAATAAAACATGCCATGATAAAAACAGAAGTATGTCTCCCACACTTGATGGCTATCCTTAATTCCAAATCAAATATTTTAGCCAATTCCCATGATAATTTCTATAGCAGTGACTTTCATTACCCCATTTTTAGGAACACATTATTTTGTTTTTTTTAAAAAATATGTATTTAGACTTACCCTGAAACATGCAACATCAGCAGCATGTAGAAGACAAAGAAGAGGTTATGAGTATACCAGAAGATGTCATAGTTAGAAACCCTGAAAAAAAAAATTAGTTTCATTCTTACTTTATAGCCCATCCCATTAAAAAGAGAATTCATTGTTTCAAACTTATATCCCACTTTAAAAAAAGCTAAAATTTGAGTTTCTGAGATGTATCTATTCATATAAAAATATTAATATATCATACAAAGAGCAATGACAAAAATTATAAGTAATAGTTTTATCATTTTGAATGTTCTTTGTATTTTAAAGACACATGGAAAGGATTAAAATAAGGTGTGTATTTTAAAGTTAACATAAGGCTAAGAAGTAAGTAGACTGCTAATTTGTGCTTATTTTGTCCCTTTTAGTATTATTTTTAATTTCCAAGTGATTCCTAAACCAACAAATGTCCCTATCCTAATATGTATTTTGACAATTGTTCCAAGATAATTAAATTGGAGAAAAACTTAAATGATGAAAATTTTGAATTCTTTTCTTGGACTGTGTAACTTAAGAAAGATACCTTAGTGTTCTTGCTCTGGGGGAAGACAAATAGTCTGAAAAGAAAGGCAAGGTAAGCAAAATCTTTTAAATGTTTGAGTGAAGTACAAAAACTAACAGTCATTGTAGTCACATATCTAGGCTGAATATTCATACATTAAAATGTTAGAGGCAGAGTGCAGGTATTTGCAAAAGCTTCCTATATGACTCTGATCTCCTCTAGAACCTTTTAGAATTATTTCTCACTTAAATAATAGCCAATTTTTGAAATTTAATCCATCTATACTATTTGTTATCATAAACAATATCATTAACAATGTTGCAACATATGTTTTTTATACATATTTCTTTTCAAATCAAAATTGCTGAAAGTCCAATTACTAGATCAAAGGCCACATACTTGTCTTGATATACACTTCCCAATGCTCTTGAAAAATATATTTATAAATTTATAAATAGATTTATATATTCCAAGTCCTACCACAGAGTAGAAGTGCTTATTTCCACAAACCCAGGTCCAACTTCATAAGGTTTTATTACTTTTATAAATGGTATTGAGTATTTTTTCATATATATGTTACTTTTAACTCTTTGTGACTAATATGAGAAAACTATTTACTTTTTAAAAATGTAACGGTCCCTTGTGATATTAATAATTTTTCTAGTATCATACTTAATTTTAAATTTTGATACACCATATTGGCAAGCAGAAATTTCAATTTCCATGTTTGTAAACAAATACTTCCTGCATGATTCCTTGTCTACTTTGAGGACTGATAAATATCTACTTAAAGTTTCTTTAAGTTTTTAATGGTATCATTTTTACAGTTAACTGTAATTTATCTAGAATTTCATCTACTTATACCTTACTTTCTTCATAAGCTTGTAATGGCATCTTTATTATTTAGTAGGTTTTATACATAAAAAGGTCCTACATCCGGTTATCTATTGACTCTGCCCCTTCATTCATTTCTGCAAGACCTCTTTTCCTGTAAGTTACTGAAGCTTAATTATTTTAATGTTTACTAAGGCATGTCTCTCTTTATTCTTATTTTGCAAAATGTATTTGAATGTTCCCTCAGATGGATTATAGAATCACTTTATTAAATTCAAAAAACAAAGAAAATAACATGTCTGGTATTTTCACTGGAATTGTAACAAATCTAAATTATAGTTGAGGAAGAAGTATACCTGTATATAATACAGCCTTTATTCAAATCTCTACTTATTTCTCTCAGTGAACTTATTTATGTGGGTTTTTTTCCACTTATAGTTTCTTACTATATTAGTCAATTTTGACGCTGTGACCTAAAGACCAGATAGAACTAGTCAGGAGAGGAAAAGTATATTTTGGCTTGTGGTTTCAGAGGTTCAGTCCATGGTTGGCCCACTCTATAGCTTTGGGCCTAAAGTCAGGCAGAATATCATGGCACAAGGGCATAAAATAAGGAGAAAAGTAATCAGGATATGATAACCAAGAAGCACTGAGAGCTCCACTCACCAGAGAGAAAATATAAACCCCAGAGTTATACCTGCAGTGAACTCCTTCCTCCAGCCACACCCTACCTACATAAGAACATTACCCAGTTAATACAGTCAAGTGGTTTAATCCACCAATTTGGTCACAGCTCTATAATCTAATCATTTTACTTCTGAAAGTTCCTACATTGTCTCACATATGAATTTTGGGGGGTTACCACATATCCAACCATAACAATCACTAAGTTTATCCCTACATATTTTGTGTTTGTTTCAATTGTGAATGTTAGAGTTTTATTTTATTCAATTTTCAAACTGGTTGGAGCTAGGATAGAAAAAAATTTTAATATTTTTTGTATTTGATTACATATTTCAATTCATTTATTCAATATTAATTCTTAAACTTTTCATAATTCTTTCAAATTTTCTGGCTAGGCAATTATATCTACTTTTCTGGAAATAGTGACAATATGTTGTTGCATTTTATTTTCTTGTGGTTTGGAATGTTTCATTTCTTACCATATGTAAATAATGATAAATTTTTAAAAATAAATCCAAAAAAAGATAAAATTAAAAATGTAACCTTAACTTTTTCCTGATTTTTCTTAAAAATTTAGGTACTTTTCACTGCTAATTATGCTCTAAATTCTGACTTTTATGTTTTTTTTTAATTACAAAGAAATCAGTTAATTCCTAATTTACTATGATTATCTTAATCCATAAATAAAGTTTTTAATGACTTTTTAATGGATTTTAAAATCCATTGAAATGAGAAAAAAATGTTAATATTCCTTTTATTTGTGAATGGTATGTATTAGTATCCATATATCTGCACTGTTGTGCATAGCTACGTCAATTACCCTAATTTTCCTTCAAGTGTTTCAAAACTGAGCTGGGATTGTGGCTCAGTTGTAGAGCACTTGCCTAGAATGTGTGAGGCATTGAGTTTGATTCTCAGCACTACATAAATAAATAAAGGTCCATTTACCTACTAATAAAATATGTATTGAAAAAAAAGAAGTCCAAAACTAAAAATGTTTTTAAAAATTTTTACTTTTCCTTCATAAAACAGTGTTTCTCCCACAAAACTGGCACCCTCATGTACTAGTGATGTTAAGATTCTATTTTCATGTGAGGAAAATTTTAATTATTATGAAAAGTTTTAGAAGTTTACCAAGTGACACAGTATTCTACATGTAGAAATTTTCCCTCAGGATATCATTGAAAAAGAATGTAAAGACATGGATGGCAGTGTTTGTTTCAGAATTTAATAGTGGAAAAATGAAATCAGCCCAAAATATCCATAAGTATAGAACTAGGAAAATAATATCTATATAGTGACATATTATGCCATTGTTAACAAAGAATGTTAAAAAAATATTAGTGTGAAAGATATTCGGTTCACAAATTTAAATAAAGAGCAGATTGAACTTAATACTATGATATGATCTTATTTAGGGGAAGTACACAGATATATGCCAAAAGAGAAAAGTTAGGATTTTGAAGGAAATATAATGATTTTGGTGGAGACAGGAAGAGGAAAGAAATAAGTATTGACTTTACTTCTGAGTTTTGGGGGAGTGTGTATAAATATAAGTAGGTGTCTTTGGAAATATAAGCATTGGCTCATTTGAGTATATTATTGGGCAATTATTTTCAAAGTATATATATATATATACTTTGAAACATACATGTGTATGTTTTTACATCTCAGCAAATAGAAAGATTGAAGACTTTTGAAAATTTTGTTTTTGCTTTCTTTAAACAAAGTTTAATCAGAAACATAAGACACTATAAATATTCTTAAACATAGAACATATCCATCTAAAATAATATAAAAGTGCTCCTCATAATGTATCTCTAAAATTGCTCAAAATCTTTTAATATGAAAACCAGTATGAATGCATGTATCTTCAATTATTTTAGCAGATATCAACCAACCATATTTCCACAGCTCTATTTGGAACACTATGTTATTTTACAGCAAAACAAACTGATATCAGGAAATTAGCTATAAAATAATTTTAAGTCATATATTCTTAGGAATACCCATCGTCCATATGTATGCAATTGAATTCAAGCCTGTGTGCCACAGAAATAAACTGTCCTTCAGAAAGATGTTTCTGAAGAACTCAAATTTCCTTGATCATTAAAGAGGTTTTGCAGAACAGGAAATGATATTTACAATCACCTTTATTTCAGTCTTTGTTACCTGTAGAAGTCCATTAACTAGGACACTGCATTGGCTAAATGCTTTGGTTTATCAAGATATTTCCAATATATGAAAATGAAAATAACCAAAAGAAAGTATCAATACTATAAACTAGTAGATAACAAAACTGACTCTGACACTTACCTTATTGCATATGTAGATGCCGTAATCATGAGGAACAGCACTACCACCATGCAGACCCCTGTCAGGCCAGGAACTGTAAAAATGTACATAAGTAGGTTTTAACTTAAATCACATTGAGTAAAAAAGCACAAAAGATATTTCCTTAAAATCCAAAGTACTATGCTGTTCTGCAGGAAGCCAAACTGAAATTGTATATGTGCATGTATGTTCCTCTCTAACAAGCCTTTTCAAAATCAGCACAGTTCCAGAGTACTTAAGACAAGGCAGAATCTTTCCTTCCTCTACTAGAGTTCTTTTTTATTTCCCCAAATATTCAACTCAGAATTGTGAATATAAACCTATTTGTTCAGGCACATAAGACACCAAATGTCAATAATTAATGCAAGGGGACAGAGTTAACATTTAATACCCTGCTGTTTTTGGTTTTCTCCACCATAGTACTCAATATCTTGACTCTCTCCTCCCTCCAATATGGAGTTAGAAACTCCTCTGGCTTCAATTTCAAATAACTATGTTTGGACTCCACTTTCTGGAATAATTTTAAATAAAAAATGTTTTTTTATAAAACCTAAAGCTTTTTTAAAAATAAAAAATATGGAACAAAAATTGTAGATTTCAAGAAAAAAAAGGTACTGTGCTGGGCTGAGGTTATGGCTCAGTGGTACAGTGCTTGCCGAGCACTTGCCTAGCACATGTGAAGCACTGGGTTTGATTATCAGAACCACATAAAAGCTAAAAAAAAATAAATAAAAATAAAGGTATGTGTCTATCTACAACTAAAAACAAAATTTTAAAAAAACGTTGTGCGGATACTCTGAGAATACTTTCAGAGGTAGTTCCTCTAAGTATGGAAAACATTAAAATCAGATGGCACACTTTTCACATGACATGATGTTGGTTTAAAAAAATAGAATGAAATGTACAAACATGTCAAAATTAATAACAGGTAAATTGCTACAAACTTAGGATTGGTTATATAGTTTGTCCAAATGAACAGTTGATATATCATTCCTAAAACAGCTGAAATCTTAGTATGTCCCTTTCTTACATTTTGTTATCAAATTAAATACCCTATATGTCTATGCTACATTTTTTAGTCTGAAAAATCATATAAGTAACAGTTAAGTCTTAAACATCTCCTCTGAGAGACTCTTAAATCGTGCCAAAAAGAAAGCTACAGGAAGACTGTTGTCTGGAGAAGAATATACAATTCTCCCACTTCTCCCCTTGACTAGCACCACCTACCGAACAGAAGGTGATCATGGACCATATGCCATTAAAACAGCAGTCAAGAGGATACAGTGGAAGGTCAACACAAGTATTCATCTTTATGACTGCAGCAGACTTAGAATTACTGGCAAATAACATTAATACTCTCAGTGCAGTGGAAACAATTGTCACTTGTAAAGGGGCACACGAAAAATAAGGGTAGTAATCTTTGGATTTTAACAGTTGCATGCTTTCTTCTAATTTTTCCCATGATACAAATTTAGAAAACTAATGGGACATGACCTTCCCTGCTATACCTAATGACCTAATAATCACATCTTTTCTACATTTTCTAAGGTCTTCCCTTTCCCTGTCCTCCAGGTGAGTGCTTCTATTAGAGGGGTAAGAAAAAAACAAGATATCTAATTTAGTTCATGTTAAAGAACTAATGGTTCAGGAAATATGCCATTTAAAAAAAAAAATGATGCCTACAAAATGGTCCATCTATTGTACTCCCAAGTATTTACTCAAAATAAAACACAAACATAGCCACATAAGAATGTATTCAACAATGCTCATAGCTATTTTATTTTTTAATAGGACACATAAATGACTCTGATCTCCATAAACACATGAATGGATAAGCAATTTAGATATTATCTATATCTGGAAAGTTAATCAACAATAAAAAGCTATGAAGTGTCAATACAGAAAAAGGAGAGAACTGGATGTAGTGATGCACAACTGTCATACCAGTTGTTGGGGAGGCTGAGGGAAGAGGATCACAAGTTCACAGCCAGCCTCAGCAACTTTGTGAAGCCCTAAGAAACTTAGTGAGACCCTGAAAATTAAAAAAAAAAAAAAAATTGAAAAAGGGATGAAGATGTGGCTCTGTGGTTAAGCACCCTTGAGTTTAATTCTTGATATTTAAAAAAAAAATAAGCAAGGACAAAGGTGAATCATAGCATTATTAGAGTGGGTGAAAAAAGCAGAATTGTTTAACCCCCCAAAAGTGCAAGCCCTATAATTGCTTTTATAGAAAAATCACACTTGGGGCTGGGATTGTGGCTCAGCGGTAGAACGCTCGCTTAGCACGGACGGGACCCGGGTTCGATTCTCAGCACCACATAAAAATTTTAAAAAAGGCATTGTGTTGTGTCTGTCTAAAAAAAAAAAAAAAAAAAAAGATTCTCTCTCTCTAAAAAAAAAAAAAATCACACTATTCTTTAGGGATAAAAAGTAGAACAGCTGCTAAAAGTGGTAGAATACAAAACACATTGTTAAGGGGCACAAAAATCTTTTGGATAATAAAAATATTTATTATGATGATTTTGGTGATGATTTGATATAACATATTTTGAAACCAATGAAATTACATACTTTATGTATATATATATGTATATATTCAATAAATTGAAGGTGATGAAAGAGCTAATTTCTCCCATTTCAAGTAATTTAAAAAAGACCTTATTTGATTAAATGAATAACTAAAGGTTAGAATCTTAAATGCATATACAGTATGAAAATCACGGTAGTAGGAGCCTCTATAACAATTTTATTGAGACTTTATTAATGTTCTACTATATCCACACATAGGGTCTCCTCTGTGGTTTTGCATATGCTGATATTTGCATATGCTGATATAGATAGTATAAGCATACTATCTGTTATAGAATATCTGCAATTGCTTCATTGGAAAGACACTTGAAAACACTGTCTATGTTTAGAATAGAGCCACAATTTCTAAAATATGCTACTCAAACATTAATTTTCTGAGATACTAGTTTCTATTACTCAAAAATCTTATAATCCTGCCTTGAAAAGACATAAGGTACACCAGTATATTAAAACTCTCTAAGAAGTACTATAGTCAAGAAACACATGTAAACTTAAATATTTCCTCAAATTTGTTTGAACATAGAAATGAATTCCCTTTAGAGCAGAACATTCAGAAAACCAAAAGACTTATATAAAATTGTTGGCTTTCATCATTTGAAGATAAAGGAGAAGCTTAGACCACCTGGACAGTGGTATAAAGCTCTGATAGGCAAAACTCTAATCTCACTGAATCTCATTTGTAAACTAACAAGAATAAATTCAATAATTGTAATGTTCCTTATGAAGTTGTCTATTTTATCTAAAGAATTTATTTTTCCTATCTCCCAAATGTATTAAAAGACTAATCTTTTAATTTTTATAGCTGCAGATTTCAGACCAATGAAGAAGAAAATTTTACAAGGAAAAAAGAAACTCTATAATTACAGTGGTAAAGAAAGAAAGAAAGAAAGAGAAAAAACAGAAGAGGGAGATACTAACTTAAGAAGCCCCAAGTGTAACCATTGGAAGTAAATAAACAGAGGCTTGCCAACCCACTATCTGTAATAGAGATCTGTGCATCACAGAAAATAGTTAAATAAATATCTTATTTGTTCAGTAATGTTTGTAGACATAGTGTACTGTTAAGTGCTAGAGATAAATGAATCCTGCTCTAAAAGAAAACTCAGCTCGGTGGGGGAGACAGGAAGGTTAAGTAGGCAATTGCAACATGGGCATTAAGTGCTGAGAGAGGCAAGCATGGAGTGCTTTCCAGTTCCATCGAAGGGCACTCTAACTCAGACTTGCCTAGCAACTCAGCCAAGTCCCTTATATTAGCTCCTTATTGCTATACATTCCAAGAGTCAAGAAAAACAGGCTGAAAATCATTATATTAGTGTAACTGCACTGGGCAAAGTTACTTGTCTAAATGAATTACACTTATTTTCTTTTTTTTTTTTTTTCTGATCCATGCATATCCCCCTTTTTTTTTTTTTTTTTGTTTGTTTGTTTGTTTTTGTTTTTATTTTTTTTTTAAATTTTTATTGTTGGTTGTTCAAAACATTACATAGTTCTTGATATATCATATTTCACACTTTGATTCAAGTGGGTTATGAACTCCCATTTTTACCCCGTATACAGATTGCAGAATCACGTCAGTTACACATCCATTGATTTACATATTGCCATACTAGTGTCTGTTGTATTCTGCCCTCAGGGTTATACAAAATTACATACAAGAGGAAGTGAGGGGAAAGGGGAAAAATAATACAAGGGGGAGAAATGAATTACAGTAGAGGGGGTAGAGAGAGAAGAGGGGAGGGGAGGGGAGGGGAGGGGGGATAGTAGAGGATAGGAAAGGCAGCAGAATACAACTTATTTTCTTTTGAACCCTTTGAATTCTTTGAATTATGAAGCCAAACACTCACTTGTATTCAGGAAAATATAAGTTTCTATGTTTATTCCTATTGTTTGTTATCTATGCATGTTAATTTCATTAACCAGTAACCTTTAAATGAATAATTGCACTTTACTGTCATTTCTGGATGAATTTGAGAGATAATTTATACCCATATCTAATGTGATCAGAAACATACTATCTTTTATCAATTATTCTACTTCTTCTAACTTAATTGGAAACATGATTGTGCTTATTTGTGCAGTTTTTTCCTAATTAAATTAGATGTTGTGCATTTTACTGTCACCATATAAGGTACTTCCAAATTTAGAAATATGTAGTATATAAGCATTTTTATTGAATTTTTGGATAATAATTTAACCTAATTTTATTTTACAAATTTTTAATTGAAATACTTTTACTATTTCACATGTATCAAGTCTAAGTACTATACTTTGTCTCTTACACTTCCCAGGCTTTATTTTTCCTTTTTACAAAACCATCTTAATTTCTTAATTGTCAATTACACTGAAAAAATTTTAGACATGAAGATACATGACTGCAACATTGACCACACTATAATCCAAAACAATCTATCAGTGAATAAAAATGTATTCCTTACCACTACAAAAATCTAAAACATTAGACAGTAACTTAATTTTTCCTACACACTGCATCTGAGAACATTCAAAGACGGCTATGGAGTATTTTTGGTCATGAGTAAAACTACAAAATTGATTTAAGGCTGTTGGAGAAGAGGCATTTCTCATCCCCTTACCATCCTTAGGCTCCCATGTGCTCTGATGTGCCACTATTCAGTGGGCTCAGCCACATCTCCTAAAAAGCTTCAGACTCATGCTTTGGAAGCTCTCTGTTTATAGCTTCAGTTCCCAGTTCATTGCTGGGAAGCACCCAGCTACCATAAAGTATCTCTCTCATGAAATTATGTGAACTGGGCCACCAAAATGGTGCCCACTTGTTAATTTGGGGTGACTCAAATTATTTAAATTAACAGAAGTTCTACCAAAAACAGAAGGGGAAAAAAATTTTTCCTTGAGTCTTACATACCACAGAGGGAGCCCTGCCACACACCTGAAGAGGCTCACTTTTAAGAGGAAAAGACAAATTTTTAAGGCAATAAACTATTCTACATATTGGTAGAATCACAATCTGTCAACTGTGATTTTAAGAATGAGCAGATATTGACCAGGCAAAGAAAAAGAGTTGACTATCTCAGACAAAAGACAGATAATCGTAAAAAGGTGTGCTCAAGAGAATGACAAAATGTTTCATGAGGACAGAACACTAGCTTCCCAGGTACCAGGGAAGGCAAGTAAAATCATAACACTATGTCCCTCCCAAAGGCGCCCTAAGATAGAGCCAGAGAATTTGTTTTTAAGTATCTTATTTTATTCCAACACCATTTCTGGATACTTCTAGCATTTTATGCAAAGTAGGGTGGGTCACAGAGTTATACAGCAGTAAAAATTATATTAAGTTTATCAATGTAATATCTTAGTCTTATAAGAAAATTTTTATCTTTGTAAACTAGACTTTGGAGCATTATAAATGTCCCAAGGTTTTCAATCAAACATTGCACTGTAGAAAACAGTATTAATACAAAGATCTTTTTCATTTCCTTTAAATTAATTTATATGAACCAAGAAATAGTTGACTCATGCATAAAGTTTTGTTTTTCTGCTTTTTTCCTCTCCTATTTCTCATCCAAACCTTGAGGCTTAAATAAAATATGTTTTTGATGACCAAAATTGTAAGCAAAACTATTGTTACTAAAGAGAAAAATATGAAATATTTTACAAGCAGTAAATATAAATCCATAGGCAGAGATAAAATACATTTTAAGAATTTAAACATATAATCATGACATGGGGAATAAAGCACCTGAATTTTTGTTATTTTTCATCATGAAATTGGTTCAAAGGGAAACAATACATTTGATAGGTAATGTGCCTCAGTCCCCTATTCAAGTCTGATTCTTAATGAGTTATCAAAGACAATCATTTATGATGAATCCTCTCAACTACTCAATCATCCTTGTCTCTGAAGTAAATGCTGACAGTCCCCATGATACAGTTTACTCTTTTTATGTTCATAAATAAATATAAGGTTAAGAAATAGAAGAATTTTTGTAACATTTAACATTAACATCAGGAGAAAAATTTTGAGGTTTCATGTTTTTAACAAATTGACAGTCTCCACTGAGATTTCATGGACAATATGCTTGAGATAGAAAAATAAATTACAAATGAAAAAGAACCAGAAACTTCTAGAACTAATAAATTAATTCAGCAAAGTAGCAGGATATAAAATCAAAACCCATAAATCAAAGGCAATTCTGTATATCAGTAACAAATCCTCTGAAAGAGAAAGAAGGAAAACTACCCCATTTACAAGAGCCTCAATAAAATAAAATAAAATACTGAGGAATCACCTTAACAAAAGAGGTGAAAGATGTTTACAATGAAAACTACAGAAACTAAAGAAAGAATAAAGAAGACCTTAGAAGATAGAAAGATCTCACTTATTCTGGATAGGCAGAATTAATATTGCCAAATTGACTATATTACCAACAACATTATACAGATTTAATGCAATTCCAACCAAAATCCCAATGACATTCCTCATAGAAATAGAAGAAACAGTTATGAAATTCATCTGGAAAAATAAGAGACCCAGAATAGCTAAAGCAACACTTAGAAAAAGAGTGAAGCAGGTGGTATCACTATACCAGAACTTAAACTATACTACAGAGCAATAGTAACAAAAACAGCGTGGTATTGGCACCAAGATAGACAAGTAGACCAATGGTACAGAATAGAGGATACAGAGACTAACTCGCATAATTACAGTTATCTTATATTAAACAAAGGCATTAAAAACATACATTAGAGAAAAGATAGCCTCTTCAACAAATGGTGCTGGGAAAACTGGAAATCCATAAGCAACATTATAAAATTAAACCCCTACCTCTCACCATGCTCAAAACTCAATTCAATGTGGTTCAAAGACCTAGGAATTAAACCAAAGACACTATGTCTATTAGAAGAAAAAGTAGGCCCCAATCTTCATCATGTTGGATTATGCATCTACTTACTTAATAAGACTCCTATAGCACAAGAATTAAAATCAAGAATCAATAAATGGAATGGATTTAAACTAAAAACTTCTTCTCAGCAAAATAAACAATCAGTGAAGTGAATAGAGAGCCTACATCTTGGGAGCAAATTTTTACCACTTGCACATCAGATAGAGCACTAATCTCTAGGGTATATAAGCTAAGCACCAAAAAAACAAATAACCCAATCAATAAATGGGAAAAGGAACTGAACAGATACTTCTCAGAGGATGATATACAATCAGTCAACAAATATATGAAAAAATGTTCAACATCTCTAGCAATTGTAGAAATGCAAATCTAAACTACTCTAAGATTTCATCTCACTTCAGTCAGAATGGCAGCTATGAAGAATATAAACAACAATAAGTGTTGGAGAGGATGTGGGGAAAAAGGTACACTCACACATTGATGATGGGACTGCAAATTGATGCAGCCAGTCTGGAAAGCAATTTGGAGATTCCTTGGAAAACTGGGAATTGAAACACCTTTGACCCAGCTATCCCACTCCTTAGTCTATAACCAAAGAAATTTAAAACAGCATACTACAGAGATACAGCTACATCAATATTTATTGCAGCACAATTCACAATAGCTAAACTGTGGAACCAACCTAGATGCCCTTCAGTAGATGAATGGATAAAGAAAATGTGGTATATATACAGAATGGAATATTACTCAGCATTAGGAGAGCATAAAATCATGGCATTTGCTGAGAAGTGGATGGAGTTGGAGAATATAATGCTAAGTGAAATAAGCCAATCCCAGAAAACCAAATGCCAAATGTTTTCTCTGATATGAGGAGGCTGATTCATAATAGGGATTGGGAAGGCTGTGAGAAGATTAGACATACTCTAGATAGGGCAAAGTAGAAGAAGGCGGCATGGGTGTAGAAAAATTGGTGGAATGAGATGGTCATCATTACTCTAAGTACATGTATGAAGGCACATATGGTGTGATTCTACATTATATATAACTAGAAATATGAAAAATTGTGTTCTGTTTATGTAATATGAATTGAAATGCATATTGCTGCATATATAACAAATTAGAATTTAAAAAAAAAGAAAATGGAGACACACTTCAAAACCATGACTGATGTTAATGATGGCTTGCTTCTGCTCTCAGTTATAGGTTTTAATATCACAATATACATCCTGCTAAATTACAGGATTATATGAACTATACTGATACTGGAATACTCTGTTTCTTTCCAATAACTTATATGTGTGCCATCTTTCACAGCACTTGTCACAACAGCCACACAAAGCAGACCCTAAACAAGCATATGGGGTTGTAGTTTTCACTGGAAAAACATGACTTGTGTTTGCTTGCTTTTACTCCTTGTTCATTCATACTCAACTGTGTCTTGTCCCTCTGTCCTCATTAATGCCTGACCTCTTAACATTTGTTCCAATATGCAAATTTTCCATATGTTGTACTTTAACATCTTTCTAATTGCTGCACACTTTGACTGGGCTTATTTTCAGACATTTCTAAATCTAAGGATAGGCAACAAATAACAACTTACCAGTTGTGAAGAGTAGTTTTCTAGGATCCTAAGAAAAATAAAAAAGAAAATATTTGACTGAAAAATAAACATTGATATGAAATTCTATCAGAAATTTGAAGGGTATAAGAACCATGTAGTGGGCATGTCAGATAGCAGTCTTCCAGTTTAAGTGAAAGAGAATCAACTAAGTTTTCTAACATTTTCATAATGCTAGAGGAGATTAGCACAAGGGAAATAATCCAATACAGAGAAGGGTTTTTTGGTTTTTTATCTGAGAAAGGCTGAGTACTGGATAAGTCAGAAGGCCTAGGATCTAATCTTAATGACTGCTTATAAGCTAGTGGTATTGGTCCTAAGCCCACCTTTTGACAATTTGGGGACTCAACATCTTCAACTATAATGTGGGAATATTAATATACACTCTACTGCAATTGCCAGAATGCACCTCAAGATGGTGGAAATCAACACCAACAAAATGTCAGAGGTTTACATACTTTAAATTCAGTGTAAAGATGAATAATTGAAAACTCACCATATTTCAAATACTGTGAAAACTGTGAGAACACTGAAAGAATTGGGATATGTTTCTAATACTTGAAAATATTGTTATTGTAGTATTTATTTTAAAATATATCTCTCATACAGTAATGGAGTACAGTTAACTCTTTTTCTACCTTCTGCAAAACTTAGGTCAATCTCCAGTAAATGTGTGGATTTGATTTTTCACCCTCATGATGCTTAATACTGCACAAGTTGTGTTTTGGTTTTTGTTTGTTTTGTTGCAATGTGAGGGATCAAGTCGAGAGCCTCATACATACTAGGCAAGCAGTTGGCCAATGAGCTACTTACCAAGTGCCCTAAACAAGATTTTGAATTACTTTATTTATGTTCCACCTTGAATCTGGCTATATAGTAAATAGGAAACCATTTATGTGGTGTAATTAAAGGGGCTTGGAATAAGCATCACGTGCCTTGGAGTAGCTCCTCACCTCGTAATGTAGGACAAATGACTTATCTTTCTGGTTTTAGAAACATGACAAAGTGTGATCTAGAGAAACCCAAAATACGAATAGCTAGAAAAAAAGTGAGCTGAGCAAAGTGACACTGAAATATAAATATATAAATATGGAAAGCCAAAAGATCGAAAAATTACTATTGCCAGAGAAAGAAGACAGAACTGGAGAGTGAGCAACAGCTTCACAGATAATAAGATGAGGCAGAGTATCAGGGTCAGCAACAGCTTCACAGATAACAAGATGAGGCAGAGTATCAGGGTCATTGATATTTTTTTTTAATTTTTATTATTTATTTTTTTAGTTTTCGGCGGACACAACATCTTTGTTTGTATGTGGTGCTGAGGATCGAACCCGGGCCGCACACATGCCAGGCGAGCGTGCTACCGCTTGAGCCACATCCCCAGCCCATCATTGATATTTTTTGAAAATATCAATGCCAATGCTTAATCCAGACCAAATAAATAGTATTAATGTTTTTAAAAATACTTGAAACAAGTATTAGTAAAGTATGTTTTATAACAAAAACTTGAAATCAACCTAAATGCCCATGAATAAGAAAAAAGCTAAAAAATATAACACATTCTTATAAGAGAATGAGACAGATATATTCTGAAACAGTAGCCTTAATATGGATACTTATAGAAACAAGTAAATTGCAGACGAATGGGTATCATCAAATATTACTCAAACGTTTTAAAAGAAACACAAAATGATTAACTGTGACTAGCTTTGAAGGATAAACTTTCAGTTTTAATTTCATCTACTCAGATTTTTAGTATTTTATACTAAATATATTGCTCAACATAAATTAATTTTAATTACTAAAAACCTCAAAATTACTAAAATATGTAGGAAATGTTAAGAAAAAGTATATTCATATGATAAAATGATTATAAGTACTAAAGATATTTGAATTCTAAAAGAGAGAAAGCAAAGGCATGGGGGAAATAGCTGGGGAAGTAACTCAGCATTAAATGGTTTTCCTAAGCATCTACAAATACCTAGGTTCAAATCCCAGCCCCAGCATTAGAAAGAAAAAGAAAATGATAAAATAATAAAAGTATATAGCAAGAGCAGTAAATGTAAACACAAGTGTAATGGAAAGAGGGCAAGATAGATGCAGAAAGGGAGAAGGAAGCTAGAAATTTAGGCTAAGTTTGAAATCATTACACGTGAAGGATAGTTATGGGCATTTTAAGGAGCTAGATTTTTTTCTGTGATTCTCAGTACTAGGTATACTCTATAACCACTTGGTGAGCTTTTTGAAAATATCAATGCCAATGCTTAATCCAGACCAAATAAATAGTCTTAATGTTTTTAAAAATACTAGAAACAAGAGATTTACTGAAAGTTACTTGCTGTTTAGATTTAGTGACTTTTTTTCTCTATTTATTGTTACTTTCTCTTCTGTTTTGTTCTGGGAGGGAGTTCAAGCATATGATTATAGCAATATTGACCCTAAAAATTCAGGTGATATGTAGAAAAGAAAACAGAGAAGATGGAGAACAAGTGTGTTGTCACTACCAGTCAATACTAAAGGACAATGAGGCAGAACAGTTTTGGTGCAGTCTTGTCATTGGGAAGCAAAGGAAGCTTAAAGACAATGTGGAAGTACTGAGCAGCAGAGACCTAACCAGAGCTGTGCATACACTGTACATCAGGCTCTGGCCTACCACTTGTACATACAATTTTATTTCATGGGTGGTTTCACATTTTTTAAAAAGGAGCTAAATCAGATACTGCCTGCTATAGAGTTTGGCTCAAGGTCATCTATTTCAAGGAGTAAAATTAAAAAGGAAAAAGCCTAGCAGTGGTACATGCCTATAATACCAATTACTAAGGAGGCTAAGGCAGAAGGACCTCATGTTCAAGGTCAGCCTCGAGATATAGCAAGAGTACCTCAAAATTTTAAAAATAAATAAATAAATATAAAGAACTGAGGATGTAGTTCAGTGGTAGAGTCCCCCTGGGTTCAATCCCCAATACCACAGGGGGAGGGGTGGGAGCGGGGAAGGAATCATGAAACCTCACCGATATTTTTTAGGTTAAATTATTGATTACCCATGATCCACAAATAGCCTTCTTTTCTGCCCTTTTCCCAAAAACATAGTATGCGAAATATTAAAGTATTTTTACCCTATAATGGTACTGTCGAAACTCTCAAATAAATGATAGGAATTAGACAAAACCTGCTGGGAGTCAGAAGGTAGACCTGAGTGGCAACCATCCGAACATTACAGAATTTAAAAAGTAGACACTCTGCAAACTCCCATTTTCAGCAGGAGAGACTATGAAATAGTAATTACCTATATTTTCTATTGAAAGGGAATAAAACTCAACTTGACAACTGCGTTTTAAAGCACTCAAAAGGAGAAGCAAGGTACAAATTTTCTGTGAAAATCACAGACCCTCATTAGTCATTTAATGACAAGTGAAAGGAAAATGGGAAGACAGAGACCACCCACCTCATCTTGGTATCTTGCTGCATTCAGTTCAATAAAATCTTCACTGTAGTTCACTGAGAAGTTGAGGGCATTCACCAGATGGGCAGCCACATGCACACCTACAGAACACACCAGGTGCATGTCAACGAGATTTTCAGACACACTCTGTGTGGCAAGAAGTCAGTTCCTCCCACAGTGTAATATAGGGGCAAAGTGTAAGAGCTATATGGGCAATGGAATATTACATTGAAAAGTAAAGCTTTTAAAATATTTCAAAACTCTTGAATATTGAGACTTTATCTAATTTTCAAAAGTTAGAATGAAATAGCCATGGTAATTCAGATTTGAAAAAAAAGATACATACTCAACCGTTGACCCCACCACACACACATACATATTTTAAAAAATGCAAGTCTAATAACATTGACATTTACTGTTTTGCTTAAGGGGCTCCTGGGTATTTTAGGTATTCTACATCCTTCATCTCTCCCATGGTTCCAAACCTCTCTATATCTTATACACCTCATTGTCATACAACATAAAATAGAGGCCAACTGAAAGGCTTTTGGCCAACTGAAAATTTTCACAATCCATAGATAATGTCCTAATCCCAAAAACAGAATGTTGGGAACCACTTCGGAAACAAAAACTCTGGAAAATAATGATCACCATTTGATAAATGACCTACCTATAATTGCACAGTAAAGAGTGTGTAGCTGACTCAGAGTTCATACAAAAGATAAAGCATTAGGAAATTACTATAGATTTCAAGACAAACTCATTTTAACATAACCAGGGGAGAAAAAAAAATATCTTGAGGAGATAGATCAAGGAAGGAGCAAATCACCCATATTCTCCTCCATTCCCAACCTTTTCCTGTGGGTGAAATAAGTTATGAAATGGGTAAACAATATTATAATGTATTGGAAGGAACAACAGTTAACTAAAAATCCTGTGATCTTGACCACATTGCTTGTCTACCAGCTCCTCAGTTTACATTTCTCTATAAAATGATAGTGACAGAAGTGAAAGACTTGAGATAAGTGCTCTGCAATTGCTTAATAAGCCATTATAGTTTCCAACAATGTATGGAATGTAGTCATTCAAAAGAAGACATAGTGGGGAAAGCAGAGAACTCTGATCCCCGGCAAGCCAGAATAAAAATACAGAGAGACTAGGAGCAATAGATTACAAAAACTAATGAAAGTGAGAGGGGACTGAATGCTAAATAAACTCAAAGTTGACTTAAAGGACTTATAAGATAGGTAATCAAATTAGAAGTGGGGAAAAGGTCACATTAAAAGTCGACAAATGAATACTTATTAGAAAGTTAATCAGGAGAGTGTGGTTTCAGTAAAAGAACAGACAGAACAATTGAACAGAATAAAAAGGCCAGAAATAGACTGTGAATAAAGTCAACTGTTCTTTGACAAAGAAGCAAAGGCAATGGAATGGAGGGGGAAAAATAGAATTTTCAACAAATGGTTCTGGAACAGTTGAAAATTGACATTTAAAAAAAATGAGTCTAGACATATACCTCACATATTTCATTAAAATTAACTCAAAATGGATCACAGAACTAAATGTAAAATTTCAAACTATAATACCCCAAAAGCCAACATGAGGAAATATGTAAATTACCTCGGGTTTGATGATGACTTTTTATTTATTATAATCAATCATTATCATTTTATAATCAATCATTATCATTTTAATTGTACTTGTTTATGCAGTACAGTGTGATAATTCATTACACGTATACAATGGGTGATGTTTTAATCAAGGTAATTATCATGTCCATGTCCTTGAACATTTTTAAAAATTTTTGGTTAACACATAATATTTGTGCACATATAAGAAGAAGTACAGTGTGACATTTCAAAAGGGTATACAATATTTATTTCCATTAGCTAATAATGTTGAGGATTTTTTCAAACTTATTAATCATTCTTCTTTTGAGGAGTATCTATTCATATAATTTACCCATTTTGAATTAGATTATTTGTTTTGGGTTGTTGAGTTTTAAAATTTTTTATATATTCTGAATATTAATCTTTCATTGGATGAATAGTTTCTAAAACTCTTTCTCATTCTGTAGATTGTTTCTTCACTCTGTTGACTATTTCCTTTGCTCCTCAGAAACTTCTTAATTTAACATAATCCTGCTTGTCTGGTTTTTGCTTTGAATGCCTATAATTTGGGTGTCTTATAAAACAGAGGTATGCCTATTCCAATGTCTTGAAATGTTTCCTTGTTTTCTCTAGTGATTGCATAGTTTCAGGTCTTATATTTAGATCTTTGAACTATTTTGAGTTAATTTTGTATGTGTGTGAAAGATAGGGGTCAACTTTCAGTATTATACAGGTGAATATTTAGTTTTCCCAGCACCATTAATTGAAGAGTCTTTCTTTTTCTCCAACATATGCTTTTAACACTTTTGTTGGAAATTTGTTGCCTGTATACTCATGGGGTTATTCCTGGGCTCTGTTCCATTAGTCTGTGTGTCTGCCTTTTGCCAATACTATGCTGTTTTGGTTACCATAGCTTTGTAGTGTATTTTGAAGCCAGATAGTGTGATGTCCTCTGCTTTGTTCTTTTTGCTCAAGATTGTTTTGGCTATTCTGAATTCTTTTGTGCTTCCATGTACTTTTTTAGGATCATATTTTCTATTTATATAAAGAAAGACTCGAGATATAAAGAATGTCATTGGTATTTTAGCGGGAATTGTATTGAAACTATAATTTGGTGATGACCTTTGCATATAGCACCAAAGGCATGATTCATGAAAAAAAAAAAAAGGATTGATAAGCTGGACTTCATTAAGTACAAGTCACGAGACTGGGAGAAAATATTTGCAAAAGTCATATCTGATGAAGGATTTTTATCCAAAATAAACAAAAAACACTTAAAACTCAACAATAATAAAATATAAAATGTGATTACAAAAGAGTCAAAAAAGAGGACATATAGATGACAAATAAGCATACCTGCCATGTACGATGCTCCACATCATATATCTTCAGGGAAACATAATTAAAACAACAAAATACCACTTTATAACTGTTAGCATGGCCAAAAACCATAACACTGACAACTCCAAATCCTGGTGCAGATGTGGATAAATAGGAATTATCAAGGTAATTATCATGCCTCACACTCACTGATAGTGAAAATTCAAAATGGTATAGTCATTTTTGAAGACAGTTTGTAATCCTGCCATACATACTCTTTCCATACATTAGAACATTTTCATGTTTTCCCAAGCAAGTTTAAAACTATGTTCACATGAAAACCCAAACACAGATGTTTGCAGTAGATTTATTCATAATTGCTATGAGTTGAAAGCAACTGAAGATATCCTTAAAGGTGAAGGGATAAATTAATTGAGGTATATCCAGACCAGGGAATATTATTCAAAGCTGAAAAGACATGAGCAGCCAAGTCATAAAAACATGTGGAAGGAACTTAAATTCATATTACTAAATGAACAAAGCCAATCTGAAAAGGCTCTATTCTATATGATTCCAACTGTATGACCTTCTGAAGAGGTAAATCTATAAAAACTACAAAAAGATCAGTGGATGCCAGGGATTAGACAAAAGTGAATGATGAACTATAGAGCTCAGCGGAAACACAGGACAGTGAAAAATACTCTGCATGATACTAGCAGTGGATATGTGTTAATATACACTTGTCCAGACCCACAGATTGCACAATACTAAGAGTGAACCCTTGACAGTAGAATGAATCAGACATAACTTTCCTATGTTCATATATGAATACATGATCAGTGTAACTCCACATCATGTACAACCACAAAAATGGGAAGGTATACTCCATGTATGTATGATATGTCAAAATACATTCTACTGCCATGTATAACTAAAAGAACAAATTAAAATTTGTTTTAAAAAGAGTGAGCCCTAACATTAGCTATGGACTTTGAGTAATAAATACGTGCACATGTAGACTCAATTGTAACAAACTGATTATACCATTCTGTTGGCAGATGTTGATAATGAGGGAGGCTATGTATGAAAAGGTGGTAGGCAAAGAGAGTATATGGAAAAATCTCTTCTCAGTTTTGTTATGAACTTACTACATTTGCTCTAAAAAATGATTTTTAATTTTTTTTAATAAAAGAAATAAGCAAACTGTAACAAGCAAGTTTAAAAGAAGTAAAACAAAGATTGTAGTATAATTTGACTATGACAGGCATAAAACTTTATAAACAACTCAGTATTCTATAGCCTCATAAGTACTGAAATCTAGTTAAAAAAACAACTCTCATTTTAAATTAACTACATATTAATTTATATGTTAAATACATACTTATGTCGCAAAAATACAATAGTGCCCTTGAAGAATTGTCATTCTGAATTCCCCTGGGGAGAAAACTGTCCTACATAACAAACATGTAAGAGACAATTGATATACACTTTCCTTAAAAGGCTTTTAAGTCAAAAGAAACCTCTGCTTCTCATTTTAGGCAGCTGGGAAGAAGTTGTGCTAAGAACTTTATGTGAATATTTTCATTTAACTCTCACGGCAAAATAGTGAGGTAGGCAGAATCATTCTTATTTTACAGATAAGAAAACTCAGGTTAGCCAGGTGTGGTGGCACATGCCTATAATTCCAGCAGCTGGGGAAGTTGAGGCAGGAGGATCACAAGCTCAAAGCCAACCTCAGCAATTTAGCAAGGTCCTAAGAAATTCATCAAGACCCTGTCTCTAAATAAAATATTTAAAGTGGACTGGAGATGTAGCTCAGTGGTAAAGTGCCCCTGGGTTCAATCCCTAGTACCAAAAAATAAAAAGTAACATCCAAAGTAGACCACTAAGGAGTGGAAAAATGTGAACCCTCTAGGACACAAGGTCATCCAGTAGTCCTCTACAATATCTTGATCTCCAGGTTGTTCTCCAATCCACCCAGGATATTTGGACATAATTATAGTTTAGAACAAATCAAGTAATAAATATGCCACAGGTTTCTAATCCTCCTCCATTCCTAATCTTTCATGCTCTTGCCTCTGACCCATCCCACTCTTATCACAGCCTACATCCTCACCTCATCCTAGACTCCCAGTCTCCCTCTAGTCTAAGCTGCACCAGAGTTCTAAATCCATCCCTGAAATGCTTTCCCCATCTCTCACCTCCAGAAGTGGGGACTAATGATGGGAGGATGTTCTGGGATAAAACAGTGAATATGCCTGTTTCAAAAATGCTTGGTAATTTTTTAAAAGCTTGAAGTTTTAATAACTTCTTGGTAATAGCCATTGCAAAACATTCCTGAGTAAAAGTGGCCATACATTAATGTCCAGTTAAATGACTTTAGTATCAACACAGCTATGTCACATCAAATAATAGTCAGATAAAAATGTCAAGTATTATATGACACTGGGATAATCTCTGAAATTGTAAATTGAAATAACCCATCATGCTCTAAGAACTCCACATGTATGGTCTCATTTTACACTTAAAATTGTACAGTCAGTAGTGCAGTTGGTGCTATATTCACAATTTTACTTTTTTTTTTCTTTTAGTACTGTGATTGAACCCAGGGTTGCTTAACCACTGAGCCATATACCCAGCTTTCTTTTTTTCTTTCTTTTTTTTTTATTTTGAGACAGGGTCTCATTAAGTTGCTCAGGGCCTTATAAAATTGCTGAGGCTAGCCTCCAACTTGCAATTCTCCTGCCCCAGCATTCTAATCCACTGGGATGATAGGCATGTGCCATCATGCCTAGCCATTTTACTTCTTTAAAAAGCCACAAATTGAGTATAAGAGAAGTGATCTAACACAGTAAGGCAGATGGCAGCTAGGGGTAGAACCTACAGAACCTCTCTTCAGGGCACATCACTACATCACTATGTTTATTTCTTTCTGTTAAATATACCACATGAATCCTCAATAAAAATTTATTTTACAATGACTTTTAAAAATGAAAGGATTCTCATTTTACATATTTAACTTCAAATAGATCAAGATAAAATTCCATAAATTCTGACATCAGTTATTATACCCAAATACTAATATCAAGGACATATTTACAAAATATAGTTTTGGGGGGAATCATTTTCTGTAAATGAATATTTCACATTTTATTTTTCAAGCATTTAAACTCATATCATATCATTCCTTTTAGAGCCTGAAAACTTTTGGTCTGTTTCTTCCAATATTTATAAATGAAATTATCTACTTTCGGGAAACAGTCCCCATCAGCCTGGGATGGGAGGTGGGGACTTTGGGTATCATAATGAAAAAGTCATAAGACACACCCATTTTCTGTAGTTCCCCTGGACAACTCTTTTTAAACTCATGGAAGAGTATAAACTAACATATGTAAGAAAAGCTCATGTTGGTGACAGCAAATAATGTATAGAACAATAAAATGATACATTTAAACACTAGTAAAATGTATATTTCTAAAAAAAAAGTTTAATATCATCTGACTTTCTCACCTGAGAAAATACAGATAGTAATACCACAGGTTATATGAAATGTTCTGCTTTTATCCAACAATCTTCTTGTTCTCCTGCTTGGTACCTAAATAAAATTTAATATGGTAAATAAGGTGCAACAAATAAGATGTACAACCTTTTTCACTTTAACACTACTCATAATATAAAAATTTTGGAAATATAGCAGAAGCCTATGAATTAAAATTAGTGAGATGAATTATGATACACTTAATGAAACATTCAAACAATTAAAAATAATGTGAAAGGATTATGTTATTGATTTCTTAAGAATGAAAGATACTTTTAGGGAATAAAATTATAAAATAGAAACTACATTTTGATTCTATGTTGTTCAAAGTTAAGGGCATTGGATGTTAATGTCTCTAAACTGTCATCAGTAGTTGCTCATGCAGAGTAGGATCAGGAGGAAAGTTCTCTGACTATTTTACATATTTCTGTGATGTTTGAATTTCACAGTATATATGATTTCCTTTGCTAGCCAAAAAATAAGATTATTTTTAAATGAGGCAATCTCATCTAGGGTTTTAAATGCCTGCTTGATCTCATAGAAAAATAAATGTCAAGCATCTTTGAATATCTGTATTTCACACTGTGAAACAATTTTTAAAGACTTATTAAATACTGGGAGACTTCAGTAGGCACTTTTATTTCCTGCCACTTATCTTTTCTTTTTTCATGCCAAGCCAATAGCCAGCCATAGGGATCAAAACCTAGCATTTTACAATGGAAGGCAATCTAGGGAAGGAATTATTTCCACAAAAATTACTGCCTTAAAAATAAAGTTTCCAAATGTAATTACAAGATTGAGAAGTTTTACCGGATTGAGTTGCACATATGAACTTCACAGATCAAAGCTACCTCAAGTTAAAAATTCATTTGAAATTACTATCTGTCTAGTAGTACCTTACTGTTTTAGTGATGAGTGGATTCACACATACCCACACACACACACATACATATGAACATGCACATATACACAATAATAATCAAAGACAAAGAATTTCACTTATATCCTTCATTTTAAAACAGTAAATATTGTAACATAATCTTTTCACATTATTTGATCACACTAATTTGATCTAGATATGTTTTTTAAGCTCCAAATGGGTATGTGTATGTGTGTGTGTGTATGTGTGTGTTAAGTAGAGATAAGGTGCCAACACTATCATGTGTTGCTAAAAGGCCACAGGATTCCTACTTGTTCACCTGGATGTAGCTAAGTGAAAATGCAGGACTGTGATGAGACAAGGTGTGGTACAGAGAGCTCAGAAGTGGGGTGGATTTTAGCTCCTCCTTCACTAGTCATGATCTTGGTCAAGTCACTTCTGCTTTCCAAGCCTCAGGTTCCTCACGTACAAATGGAACTGATTAATCCTTATTGCAGATTCATTGTAAGGATTCACAATGTTGTGTATGAAGTGCTCAGCACAGTGCCTGAAAACACTATTTATAATTTTTCTCTGATCCTCTGCTCTACCTAGTGTTGTAGGAGAACTCATGGATGATCTTGAGAGTTAACATGGCCCTTACCATCATTTCTGAAGAAATCAATCTAAACAAAAGTCAGACCATGAAAATTAAACAGAATTAAGACGTGACCATAACATTCGATTTTATGTTGAAATCCATAATGAGGATGTTCTTTTTTTCTTACCTTCTGGGATCCTCGAAGATAAGCCAGGAGTGTTCGGCACATAGGTAAAAGGATAAGGCTGCAGTTGAAGTTAAGAACAGATGCTGAAGCTCTGCTGAAACACAATCCTAGCTGAACAAACAAAGCAAGGGTCAAAACATAGTTAAGTACATAAGCAAAAGAACCCTGACCTAGACCCACAAGCTGCAGGTATCTCCCTATTTCCCCTTTGAGGATCACAGTAAATACCTGCTCCTTCTAGAGTCTTCAACAGCCCTCCTTTCACCAGAAAGCCTGTTAGCAAAATTGGTTTCTTTATGCGTGGAATGGCTGTAAAATTTAGTTCTCCTCTCATGTCAGCTAGTGTTGTTATCAAATGAGTACATTCTTCCAGTTTGATTTCTTGTTTTGTCCTCACTGTCTAGGTGTTGAGAGCTCTAGAGAGAGAGAATCTCAGCACCGTTTTCTGCAACTCCACATTCATGTGGCATTGGATCTTTTATTCACTGATAGACCCTCGAGACTTTAAAGAGCTTTCATTTGTATCCTCCCTCTGAAATTCTCTCAGCATAACCCACTTCTTTACACTACATTACCTGCCTGCAAGCTCTTCACCTCACTAACTCTTCATCCCCAGGTTTCTAAGTAAGCTCTACTTACTCCAGACCTGAAAGCAGAAGAGTTGCCTCTATTATATACTCTATTATATATTATATACTCTATTATATACTCTCACTGCTTTCTGTCCTTACTTTATTATAATGTCTGTTTAATACTCTTTCAATCTTCTCTTTTTAAGATTCATTTTATTTTTATTTACTGTATATATATATATATATATATATATATATATATATATATATATAGGTACGATGTGATCTTTTAACATGTAGATACATTGTGGAATGATCAAATCAGGCCAATAAATATGTATCACCTCAAATAAATACTTATCATACCCTTGTAGTAAGACCATTTAAAATCCACTTTTTGCTATTTTGAAACTTGCTACAAATTATTATTAGTCACCATTGTGCAATACATCATCAGAATCTATTCCTCCTGTCTGAAACTTTGCACCCTTCTATCAACATCTCCTCTTTCTGCACCTGCCACCACCCTGCCCGAAGTCTCTGGTAATCATTCTACTCTCTATCTCCAAGAATTCTACTTTTTTAGGCAAGTGCTCTACCACTGAGCACAACCTCAGCCCTCTACTTTTTTAGATTCTAACAATAAGCAATATCATACAGCAGTTCTCTTTCTGTGTCTGGCTTCATTCACTATGCACAATGTCCTCTAGGTTCATTCATGTTGTTTGAGATGTTCAATCTTAAATGAGATGGTACCTTAGAAAACTGCAATTCATATATTTGGGTATGTCTTGGAAGCAGGACATAAGTGTTTTTTGTGCACTATTTCCATTTGGTCAGTTAATTTCTGATTACAAAATAATTTCTAATTACAAAAATAAATGAATATTATAGAATATAATACAGTGGTGTTAGCAAATACACAGTTATATACTATTACTGGCCATGCACAGTTACAGTTTGAACATATTTCATTTATTAACATATCAAACCTTCTCCTATAACTCTGAGAAATAATTAATAGCTTTTTAGGATTACTCTTATATAAAGGGGAATGTGACATTATGATTATAATGTTATAATAGTAATAAGAGTAACATTAAGACCTAACATAAAACAAAACAAACAAAAAAAGATGTTGTGGAGCCAAAATTGAAACCCAGAGGTTCTAGCTAGAGTGTCTATGCCATGAATAACCACTTTAGACTTCCTCTTCAAGTTGGCTTTTTAAAAGACAATGCCCAGAAGGCACATAGTAGGCAATAGATATTTTGTTAAACAACTTGAATTTACATTTGAAGAAAGAAAATGTAGACAACCAGTCTAGATAACATTTCTCTCCTTATATGCTTCTCCATCAACAAGATGATTATTATTCTTGTTTTTTTATCATTAGAAAAATTAGAGGTACAAATATTTGAGATTATTAGAGAAGGCCACAGCAATATGTCCATTAGGATTGCCTACACACTGAGGTTTGGAGGGGATTCCTAGCACTCTTATTCTTCTTTACTTCCGTTTAGTATGTGGCATGTTACTTTAAACATTTTATGTTTTGTCCTATTTCTCTAATAAAAGGGTAAGCCCTTCAAGGACAGGAAAAATAGTTCTAAAATGCTTAAGATCACTTTACATTTTATTTCAGTTCTCATGTAATTAATTGATTTTGAATAGATTTTTAATGTAATCCTCAGATCAGCTCTGTAACATAGGCTGAGTACACAGTATTATTGCCATTTCAGAGATAAAGAGCTTTTACTAAATAAAAATAATTATACCCACAAACAAAAAATTCTGAATTTAATGCTTTGGGGTAGTGCCTGGATACCAATATTTCTGAAAGCTTTCCAGATAATTCTAATATGAAACATGGATTAAAAATTATAGTCATAAACTAGTTAGCTAAATTGTATTGCTCATAAATTATAAAACAAAAACAATCATTAAATTATAATGAGTAAACAGAATTTTATATCTACAAATTTACTGACCAAACTGGATTTAAAATTAATTTTCATATTTAGAAACAAAATTATTCTAAATATGCTTAAATTAAAAAGTGACAACAACAAGATCTCATGTGCAGAAAGCTGACACAGTGAGGAAGAACTAACAAGAGGCTTTTCATTTCCTACCCTCTAACACAAAAACAGGCGCTGCACAGGCGCCTTTAATGGACCACAGGACATCTTTTCAAATGTTACAAGATACAAACGATTATACTCATTTCACAACTGAGTTACATAAGGATCTTAGAGGCTGAAACCTTCCCCAAGGTCATACAACTAGTAGAAGATAAACTCTGTACCTTAGACTGGGGGATTATCTTCATCTTGGGTTAAAATCAAGACCAAAAAGACAACAAGAAAAAAAAAAAAAAACAGGCCCAGAAGGTTATGCAAGGAAAACTACTATTAAAGATAGGGAAAGCCTGTTCCTATAGCCCCCTTGGGCCATATACATTATGACTTTGTTGCCAGAGGAGTTCCTTAGTCAAGACAAGGTCTTGAATTTTAACTCCCATCAAGTGCAATTGCTTCACTTCGTTCCTTTGGTTTGAAATACTCCTGTAACCCTAGCTAGCACCACTTACTCTTCAGTTGGTATATTCATAAAAATGTTTGTATCTGATTAGACTCAAACTTCTTTGAGCTCCACTGTATGGCCTTGATTCTTACATACTCTCTCACAAGGTCAGTCCTAGAGAGGCAGATGTCCCAAAGGTACCTGAATCCTCTTTATAACTACCTCTCAACTCTAGGATCTAGGAAGGCAGAAATTGGTTTATACTTTTCTACTCCTTATTCATACCATGTTGCAAGTTCCTCAAATGCAACATTTTGGTGTTTACAGCTTTGAATCCTTAACCCTAACACAATGGCTATACCCAATAATATGGATGTGCACTGAATTTTTCAACACATGTATCATGCTTTGATAATCATCTCATTTGGTTACAACACTACACTTGGTTCATATATTTATAATCTTCAGATGATTTTATTCAGGAATCCTCTATGTCTAACAATTACTTTAAAATAGCTCACAGTATCATGGGAAAACATTAGGAAGTGGTCAAAGAAAGTCCCTACTATCATCAGGAAGATGAAGTTTCTCTACTTACATGAATGCAATGCCATAAATGTGTACAAAGGAGAAAATCTCTTTCACAAAAACTAGACACCTCAAAAAATTATTAGTTCCATTATTATTCCCCTCAGAATTTTTATAAAAATTTATCCATCAAAATGGGTACTAAGGCAGACATGGTGGCACGCACTTGTAATCCCAACGGTTGAGGATTTCAAGCTCAAAGCCAGCCTCAGCTACTTAGGGAGACCCTAAGCAACTTAGCAAGACCCTGTCTCAAAATTTTAAAAAATTAAAAATTAAAAAAACTTGTGAATAGTTGTTTTATTTATCAAAAGGGACTTTATAGATGTGATTAAGGTTATAGTTCTTAACCATAAAGAGAGTACTTTAAATTAGCCAGGTGGATTCAATCTAATCATGTGAGCATTTAAGAGCTGAGAAATTTTTGCACTGGAGGCAACAGAGAGTGAGCAGTAAGGGATGTCAGAGAAATTCTATAAATAGGACTCACTGGTTGATATGTAGGGGCCCCTGTGTAAGGATAATGAGAAGCCTTGACTGGCAACCAGCAAGAAAAAGAAGACTTCAGTCCTCTGTCTGCAAGGGACTGTATTTTGGTAACACACCAAATAATCTTAGAGGCAGGTATTTCCCAGAACCTCACCTAGAACCCAGTTGACATATTCATTTCAGCCTGTGAACTTTGGAGTAGAGAAATCAACTGCTAAGTTTCTGACCTACAGAACTACAGTTTTAAACTACCATATGTATGATAATTTGTAAGAACAGCAAAACAAAACTAAGACACCAAAATGGAGGTCAGCTTTCATCAAATACTTATCAGATATTTCAGGCTGCAAAACCAAAGACGTATTTCAAAAGACGGTATAGAATATATTCTTTAATTTCATAGTAAATTGTTAGAAGTACAAATTTTAGATTCAAACAAGTTTTCTTTTTACTTTTGAGATGTCTAACCATGTCATTTGTTAGATGACTGGCTATAAACAAATTATAAACTTCTCTGAAGAATGGGAGATAAAACTGATATCAATATACAATTCAAAATATAGGTACCATACAGATCACTTTCTCTAAAGATGTAATTAACTTAAATATTAGGAACAAACAATGATTTAAAATCCATTATTTCAGCCTTTTTTAAAAACTAGCAGTTTTGAAGCCGATAAGCTCATACTCAAAACGAATTATTGAACTAAGATTCTAACTTAAAAGTTACAAAAATAACACTATTCACCTCCCAAAAATGAAAACAAAACAAAGATTAAAACAGAAAATTTAAAACCCTTATAAACAAATTAAGATAAATCATAGGAGTCGGCAGTGGCAGGATATACAGTCAATACTAAAAAGCTAAGAGCATTGCTATATGATACCAACAAATATTTTTACAAATTTATTTTTAATATTTCATTTTATAT